ATCTATCTATCTATCTATCTATCTATCTATCTATCTATCTATCTATCATCTGTCTATCTTTGTTTTATATATTTATTTACTTATTTATTTGTTGTGTGTATATAGGACATACCACAGTGCTTGTGTGGGGGTCAGAGGACATTATGCAGGATCAGTTCTTTACGCCTTGTGGGGTTTGGGAATCAAACTCTGTTGGACAAGTGCCTTTCATGCTGAGCCTTTCTGCCAGCCCTGTTTTAATTTCTTAGGCTGTTTTTCTGTGGTGCTAGAGATGGAGCCTAACTTATATTATTCTCAGAATTCTCTGTTTTTAAAAAATTTTGTGCCAAGCAGTGGTGGCACACACCTTTAATCCCAGCACTCAGGAGGCAGAGGCAAACGGATCTCTGAGGCCAGCCTGTTCTACAGAGCTAGTTCCAGGACAACCAGAACTATACACAGAAACTCTGTCTTGAAAAAAAAAAAATGTTACATTTTATTTATTGTGTGCATGTGTGTACACAGGAGTGTGGCTTGGTATGCATGTGGAGGTCAGAAGACAGCTTACAGGAGTGGGTTCTTGCCTTCCAGCACATGGGTCCTGGGGATAAAACTTAGGTTGTCATGTCCTGAAGCATGAGAAACCTGAGTTCAATTCCTCAATCCCTACCATAAAAAGATGTGCTTGGTGGATGTATCTGTACAACTTCGCACCATGTGAGGAAGGTGTACAGACAGGCAGATTCCCACTGCTCACTGCAGCCAGTCTAGACAGTCCGGGCTCAGGGAGATATGCTATCTCAAAAATAAGGTAGAGAGTAACAGAGAAAACACCTGATATGAACCTCTGACCTACATACATATACACACATAGCAAACAGATGTACACACACAGAAACATAAAACACACTTGCATACATGTTACAGCCTACATTTTTTATTAGGAAATGATGCCAGTGAAATGCTTGCTACCAAACCTGACAACATTAAGTTTGACCTGGCCAGTCTTGAGTCATAGAGGCCAGGATATGGTGGTAAAGGCCGCAGGCTCTGGTGATGGCTGTTCTGGCTTTGACTCTGTGCTCACCAACTTGCAAGTTGGAGGCCAGCAAGATTATTTATAAAACAGAGAGAGAAAAAGGAGTGGAGATGTAATAGATCAAGCTGTGTGCGCTGAGAAGGCTTCAGAGGCAGCGGTGCCAGTGTTTTCTTGAGGACTTTGTAGCTGCCTCCGGGTCAATGACGCTTTATTTTCTGTCTAGATCGAAGGTCGTCTTCTTCCAATGGAGAGGATTAACTTAAGGAACACTTCATTTGTCACATCTGAGGACCTAAACTGGGTTAAGGAAGTGACCAGAGATGCTTCCATCCTGACTGTGAGTTATTTCTGAAGTGCTGGAAAGTCACTATTCCCCTAAGTATGAAAATAGGGGTGATCCAAATCCTCTTTGAGAGGAAGTGCTATCTGAGTTCCACCCTGAGTGTTTTGCTAAGCAAAGCCCTTCTAGAGAGCAGTGCTGGAGGGAAGCCCTCTGTCTGACCACAGGCTGAAGAGAAGGAAATGTGTTACCATGGAGATTCTGCTGGTGTCAGCCCATCACCTGTTCTTTTTTTCTTCTCTCTTCCTCTTTGCCTCTGGGAATTTCCAGAGTTATTTTTATCCATAAAAGAAGTCAGATTAAAACAGGGCTTCCCCAAGACAACGAGGTGTTAGTTATATTTGCATCAAAGTATAAAATAGTAGACAGTTTATTTCTGGATGTTTCTTCCAATGAGGTTTGTGGCCATATATAAAAAAAAAACATCAACTTTTAAAGCAATATTGAAATATAGCATAGTTAAAGAAAAAGCACACTTAGAAGTATATAACTTGATTTTTACAAATTAAATAAACTAATATAACCAACACCAAGGGTTAAGAAACAGAAATTTACAGATGCACTCAACCCCCTCACCATATTTCCTGGTTATTGCCACTCCTTGAGAATAACAGCTGTCCTGAATTGGCAAAAGCATACATTCTTTTTGCCTGTCTTTGTCCTGTGTGTATGTGTGTTTGTGTGTATGCACGTGTGTATGTGTGTGTATCAGAATTAGAGAATGAATAGGTTTTTATGTTTGACTTCTTTAGCCTTGTGTTCATGAATTTCATTCATATTGTTGAGTGTGGTTGTAGATCTTCAATTTTTATTGTTGTATAGTATTCCATTATAAGACTGTCAACATTTATTTATAAGTCTGTGAATGATAGGAATTATATAAGACAGAGAGACTCAAGCAGGAGTGCAAAGTCATTTATTCACTATAGTAATATTCCCCAAGTCTGAATACATTGTGTGCTTGTTCCTAGATTCCCATGCATTTCTGGGCACTTTTTTACCCAAAGAGAGCAATGGACCAAGCCAGAGAACTGGTTAACATGTTGGAGAAGATAGCTGGCCCCATTGGTATGCGCATAAGCCCCCCAGCCTGGGTTGAACTGAAGGATGACCGGATAGAGACCTATGTCAGGACCATTCAGTCCTTACTAGGAGTGGAGGTAATGAAGTAACTTAATTGGAGTAAACTTATAAAATCTCTGAAAGTACTTGGATGCTTAATCTAAATTATCTGGATTGTCAGTCTGTTGATGATGCCCAGGAGCCTGTGTCCTTTCATTGTCACATGAAACTCTGTGTTCTTCATGCTCTTTGGTTATTTTCATTTCTCCTTCCGTGTTGGCTCATTCTCTTTATCTTTTTCCTTCTGAAATTGCCTGAAAGAACAGCTGACTTAGTTCATTATCTGTAGAACATGTTGTGCTCAGAAAGCAACTACTTGGGCCAAGTGCTGTCTTTCTGGATTCAGTTCTGAGTTGTAACAGAATGGTCTGGCCAGGATGCACATTGCCCTGGTGATGAACTTAGCCATAGATACATTAACTGATCTTGATAACTGATCAGAACATTGGCTCTGACTACTCCTATCCCAGCTTCAAGATTTTGCCTTCTTATGTCTTTATAAATAAAAATATTTTTAAATTTTTATGTGTGAGTGTCTTGCCTGCATCTATATCTGTCTACAGTGTGTGTGTGCTTGGCTCCTGGGAATGATAAAACAGGGCTTAGAACACCTGGAACAGGAGTTACAGACTTTTGTGAGCTGCTGTGTGGGCCCTGGGACTTGAACCCCAGTCCTCTCCAAGAGCAGCAAGTGTTCTTAATCACTGGGCCATCTCTCCGTTTGAAAATAGAGGAAGAAGACAAAGGATAGGATAGAGGTAGAAGAAAAATCTTTGGAAATATTTAGCCCTTGAGCCCACAAGTCTGGTGAGTTGAATTGTTCAGAAGATCAGTCCTAGAGTTGGAGTCTCTTAGCATTGTGGTATTCTTTGTTTGACACCCCCCCCCCCCATGGAAGGTCGTCTGTGTTGATATTGGCTAAGAGTCCTGGGAAATAGAGGCTCCTGCCAAGGCTGTTGCTGGCAGTGTCTGTTCTCCCTTGACAGAAAGTGAGAAACAGCTACTGTGGACTTGGCCTTCTCCATTCTGCACTTGGCTCTGCACACGTAGTCTTACATGCTGTACTTCCTTGGCTGAAATTCTGTGGTCTGACACATTGCTTACCTGACTGAGGATCACAGGAAGTTATTGAGGGAAGTTAGAGTAGCAGTCATAGAACCCTTGCATACTTGCCTGGCCTTCTCTAGACTCGAAAACCTTCTAGTAAATAAACACAGTAGTCAGGGCCAGCTCTGGGTGTTAATAATGTATCACCTGTCTATGGACAGCAGCCTTAAGCCAAATGATTGTTTAGATTCAACAGATGTTTCTGGTTGGAATGTTCACCATCTGTTTCTTCAGCTCCCTGTCTTCCTCATCTATGTCCTAAGAAAGTCCCTAGAGTGATCAGATCCTGACAGTGTATGCTTACTTCCTCTAGGGAAAGATACAGATGGTTGTTTGCATCATCATGGGCACACGTGATGATCTCTATGGGGCCATCAAGAAGCTGTGCTGTGTGCAGTCCCCAGTGCCCTCACAGGTGAGTGGAAGTGGAGTAAGAAGCAAGGTGGAGCCCGGCTCACCTAAATCTCTGGAATAGGAAATAGCCATTTCAGGCCAGTATGGGTAGAGCCTTATGCTGAAAGGTTCTGATTAGAGTGAGTCAGCAGTAGGTAGCTCTTCTAAGGGCTCTTCTGCTCCCCATAATCCCTTGGTGCTTCCCCATGACTGAGGCTGGATGTGTAGGCTTCACTTCCAGAAGGGGACATATTTTCCTAGGGAACTATAAAAACATCACTCTGAATAAGATAATTTTGAAAGTTTTTATATGTTCATGAACGTATCATGTGCATATATGTCTAGTCACCCAAGAATTAGAATTACTAATAATAGATATATGCTAATTCAAGATTCTTAAGTTAGTACACTCAGTTCTCAGTAGTAGTGGCCCTTTGAGACAGTTTCATATAGCCAAGGCTAGCCTCATACTCCCTATGTACACAAAGGTGGCCTTGAATTCTTATCCCTCCTACCTCTATCCCCCTCCTCCACATACACAAAGTGCTGGATTTTCAAGCATGCCACCACACCTGGCCTATCTATGGATTCTATATCAGATAATTCACCAAACATAGTTTTAAAACATTCTGAATAGTAAGGGGAGCAGGGGCTTTCTCTGGCATGAACTCAGTGACAAGCTTTCTGATTACATCCCCTTGGGTGCAGCCTTGCCAGGCCACAGAGGAAGACAGTGTAACCAGTCCTGATGAGACCTGATAGGCTAGGGTCAAACAGAAGGGGAGGAGGACCTCCCCTATCAGTGGACTAGGGGAGGGGCAGAGTGGGAGAAGAGGAAGGGAGGGTGGGATTGGTAGGTGATGAGGGAGGAGGGCCACAAATTGAATAAATTGTAATAAATGATGACAATAAAAATATTTTAACATAAAAAAAATTCTGAAAAGAAAATTAAACCTCTACTGAGCTCATCAGACTCAAAAGGGAAACCCTTCTGCTTATTCAGGGTAACAGCTATTTACATGGTGATTATATTCAGTTCTGAAAATAACGGAGGTCTAGGTATATGGAAAGTATGGGGCAGCTCTACATACATACCATGGCATTGCATGGGAGGGAGTTGATACTCTGATTTCCATATTCTTGGTGGAAGGGACAGAGGAAAGGCATGGAGCCAAGAGATGTTGATACTTTAGCACTGTTAACATTTTCTAAGAAGTTGATGATGCTCTGGCCTTGTCACTACAGGTCATCAATGTCCGAACCATTGGTCAACCCACCCGGCTTCGGAGTGTGGCTCAGAAAATTTTACTTCAGATGAACTGTAAACTGGGTGGTGAGCTCTGGGGAGTGGATATCCCGCTGGTGAGTGATGTTGATATGTGTCTGCTAAGGGCCTGGCTCTTTCCCATCCTCCCTTTTGTCATCCTTCTTGCTCTCAGTGTGGATTCAGGAGTCCAGCTGGCTTGCTGCATGTTACTAGACAGACCGTGAGCTAAGCACATATTTTATGTTTTAAAATGGTGGAAAAAAAAATCAACATTTCCTAAGACATGAAGGTTATCTGAAATTCAGTTCTCAGTACTTAAGTACACTTTCATTGTAACACACAGCATTGGTTGCATCAGTCTTCCACTGCGGTCATCAAAAGGCAGCGTTACACAGTTCCTAGGGAGACTGTCAGCTCACAAAGCCTGCAGATTTACTCAGTTATTCCTTCACTTGATGATCCCTGGTCTAGATCTGACTTTGTTCTTTGTGTCTAGAAAATGTCAGGTTGATTGCAGTCTTTGCTGCTTGTGGAGAGCTTGTTTTCTTATGTAAATTAGACAGGAGGTGCTTTGATAATAAAGATAATAAAGATGGAGTAATGGATTGCTTGTGTTTGAGCTTTGCTTTTGTGTCTTTGTTTTCCACCGTAGAAACAATTAATGGTGATTGGGATGGATGTGTACCACGACCCCAGCAGAGGCATGCGCTCTGTGGTTGGCTTCGTTGCCAGCGTAAATCTGTAAGCAATAATCATAGCTGTATTACTGTTGGCTGCCTCATTTTGATGCCTGATCTTATCAATCCATTACATGAGTTATATACTCCGTATTATAGGATAAGAAGCACTTTTTTCCTTCCTCTGTCCTTCTCTAATGTCTGTATTTGCAGTGTGATTGCCACATTCATCAGAGGGACGGATCTGCTCCCTAGACTCTGTACCACTTGCAAGGACAGAGGCTGCCTTTTTAGAAATGGGGCTGTCATTTGGGGAAGGTGTGGGAGGGCACATGCTTGGAGGGCAGAGGACAACATTGTGGGTTTGGGGGTTAAGCTCAGGTTGTTAGGCTTGTACTGACCCAAGAAATGCATTTGGCTGGTAGATGTGTTAAGTTGATTCAAAGGAACCCTGTGTGTGGCCAGCAGACCACAGGTCCTCCTGTGGGACTGGCTGGTCACTGTCCTCACTCTATGTCTCTCCTTCCTCCTCCCCATCTGCCTAGTACACTCACCAAATGGTATTCGAGGGTGGTGTTCCAGATGCCTCATCAGGAGATTGTGGACAGCCTGAAGCTCTGCCTGGTGGGCTCCTTGAAGAAGTACTACGAGGTGAGGAGATCAGAAATTCCCGCGTTTCAAGGGCTACCTGTTTAAGTTTTGAGCAGAGATCTGATATGGTGGGAGCACATCAAAGGTGAGTCTGACAGAGCCATACCCCATTAGAGACCTCAGTGTCCCCTTTCAGGCTTCTGCTCTGTGCAGCAGCTTGCAGAGCCCAACACTGCACCTCCGTTTGGTAAGCAATAAAGACTGGTTGACCAGCTGGTGCCTGCAGACATAATTGCTGAAATTTACCTCCAGCTAAGCCAGTAAGGACATAGGAATGTCCTTAAAACTTATTAATATGCTCAACTGTTTATGACTGTCATAGCTGCTGATCATTCGTTTTGGTTTAGGACAAAAGCTTCACTATAATTCACTTCTCATAATTTCAAGGAATGCTACCCATGGAGAATTGCTGTCATTAAGCTGATATGAGGTCTAGAAGGGTGAGCAAGCAAGGTTCTGATTTTTGTGCTGGCCAGGACATCAAAGGAGGCAGTGATAAGTAGCTTCCATTCCTAGGGCCAATGTGGCCTTTGCATAGCGTGGAGACCACAGGACATTTACGATTCCATGTGACTGAAGTCAGTCTCTGAAACCCCACCTTGTCTCTAATGGAATTAAGATTCTTGTGGTGTCCTGCACGTATTAGACACTATGGACTCTGTTCTCAGAAGATCCAAATGATGTGGCAATTTATTACCATGCTCTGCTATTTCTTTTATTACTGTTTCTGTCTTCTAGAACCTAACTCAGAGATGACTTTTGTGACACTTTCCTGTTTTCCCCTCACTGTTCCCTCCCTTAGTTAAAATGATTGGCTTGTGTTGTTTTCCCAAGGTTCTATGTTCTGTGCTGTTTACTGGTTAGCACATCCTGCTAACTTATGTCTGTTATTTACGTTATTTGTCTCCCTTCTCTGTTCAGGTGGTGTTTGTAATCAGACATGCACAAGCTAGTTAAATGTTTTACCCCTAAGCTGTATTCCCAGACTTCTCACTGGGTTTTTATTGTCGTTGTTGTGTTTTGGATTTGTTTTTTTGAGACAAGGTCTTTCTATATAGCCCTGGCTGTCCTGGAACTCCATATGTAGACCAAGCTGGCCTTGAATTCTTAGAAACGTACCTGCCTCTGCCTCACAAATGCTGGAATTAAAGGGGCTTGCAAAGGCTTTTTTTTTTTTTCCTGTTCATTCCTTTGATGATTTCCTCTCATTTGTTTCTTCTTGCTTTTCTTGTTTTCTTAATTGGAGTCTCCTAATTTTTTTTTTTTTTTGTCTCCTACTTTTCCTATCTAATGCTCTTTTCCAGCAAATGTTAATTTTGGAAACAGTGAAGTTTACCCAAGCTTGTCCCACTTTTAAAGGCCTACCATTTGGAAGTTTGGGTGCCTCCCCAAATCTCATTCAGTTTTGATAATTCACTGAAGGGACACAGAACTCACTAAAAGCTGTTATATCTGTATTTGGGGTTCATTTGAGGAAAGGATACAGATTAAAGTCAGCAGAGGGAATGCATTGTCCACATCAGGAAGTACTACACAGGAAACTTCAGTAGTTCTCTCCCTGTGAAGGCAGAACACGTTGTTTCCTGGCACCGAGATATGATAAGGAAAACTGCCAACTGCCAACCATGACTATTTACATGAGCCTCGCTATTCAGAAGTTCAGGATGGGATGCTTACATGGGTGTATCGGGGTGATTAATTGCCCCTGTGATTGATTGCACCCTATAATCTCTGTAGTCTGACTTCTGTGTAGCCTCTGATGCCTCTGTTCAGATAGCTTAATAGCTAGTCGATGGCAGAGTTACTACAAGGCTTACACTGGCCTTGAGTTCACCCTGTGTCCCAGGCTGTACTCTTTGTGATTGCCCTGCCTTAGCTGCCTAATTGCTAGGAGTACAAGTGTGTGCCACTAAACCCAAACTTCAGCGATTTCTCTTCTTTGTCTCTCCATCTTGTGGTGTTGGCTGATTTTCAGTTACCATAAGGACAAGACTGCAGGTGGGACAGGGGAAAGTAGTAGAGGAAGGTAAATACTCCAGAGCAGTCCCTGCACTCAGGTAGAGGCATGGCAATGCACAAGTTCAAGGCCAGCCAGGGCTGCACAGCTACATAGTGAGACTTTCCAAAACACTGAACCAAACAAAGCTGATTTTAACAATCTTAGCTACTGTTCTTGTTATGTTCTTGGAGGTCCTTATTCTGTAACTGAAATACTTTCTAGGAGTGCTCTTGACAGTCCATCAGTGTTTGGGGGAACAGTCACTAGCAGATAGAACTCACTAAGGGCAGATGGTACTAGAACACATCTATCTTTCATTCTGGGGTGCTAAAGAGCCACATCCTCAGAGTGTGGGTAAGTGAGAGGTATATAATTCACCTTTGAATTATCTCAATTCCTCAAATTTTTTTCTGCTGCTCCAAGATGCAGATGTTCCCCAGTTTGTTAGTGACTGTACCCAGGCACCCAGGAACCCTACCCCCCAAATTTTTATAGGCAAATTACTCTAGAACCTACATTATCTGTTTGCTTATGTCAACATCATGTTTGGCTTTGGTTTTGAAAAAGGAACACACATATGCACATTCTCCATATTTGTTGTTGTTTGTTTTGAGCTGAGGTTTTATATTGTAGCACAGAGTACCCTAGAACTCAGTATTAATCTGGGCTAGATTTATAGACTTGAGTCCTTATGTCCAGTCTGCTTCAGCTTAATTAACGAGCTAAAGAAATAAGAAAAATAAGAAAGCGAAGATGAAAACAAAACAACAAAAATGCAGAAAAATAAGGGTCTCTTTTGGGTGCCTTTCCCCTAAGAACATGTAGCTGAGAGGTTGGAAAGTTACTCAGAATTAGAGAAAGTCTCCAGGGGCGAAAACCAAAGCCAACGCCCCTAACATCGTTGTCCTGGGTAACTCACAGAAGATTCAGTTAACTGATCAGATATACTTAAAAGATAAATCTTATGTGGTGACACTTCTGTTATCCCAATTTCTCCAGAGGCTGAGACTGGAGGATTGCATTTTGAGGCTATGCCTGACAATACAGTGAGACCCTCATCTCAAAAAACAGATGAAGGCCAGCAACCTTCACACCAACACATGCAAATACACACATCTCAGCACACTGTAACATGCAGATGCTGCCACCAAGTAATTCAGTGTTAAAAAAAAGAAAATAAATGAATAATAACGACTTAGTATCTTCAAGGAGAAAAAGAGAACACCACTAAGAATTTGGACAATGAACTGAAAGCTTTGAAACCTGCAAGTTTTAGAAATGAAAACTGTAATAACTGAGGTTACACACTCCGTAGATGAGCGTGTTAGTATATTAAGGGTGCTATAACAAAGTACCATGGGTAAAGGGCTCGAAGAGCAGCCATGTATTTCCTCACAGTTTTTAAGGCAAGAAGTTTGAGGTGAAGGTGATAGTGGGTTGATTTCTTCTGTCCTTTTTTTGTCCTGTTAATGGGTTTTCACACATTCTTACCTCTGTTTGTGTCATTACCTAAAAAAAGAGGCTGTAGAGTAGGATGTCAGCTTAGAGATTCCCTGGGGTGAACGGGGATTTTTCTTCCCAAACAGTGGGTAACGGTGGTTTAAATACATCTGAGGAAAGGCAAGAAGTAAGTAATCAGACTGAAGTACAGACATGCAGAAGCTGAAAAAACAGAGAAGCCAACAGATATGGAGAGTGTGGGGTTAAATACAAAATACTATAGAAATGATTCACAAGGCAGCAAAAACCCACAAGTGCCAAAGCAGCATCAGAAAAGGCAGCAGTGAAGAAGCAATGTTCTGTAATAGAAAGCATGTCAACTCATCAGTTGAGAAAGTCCAACAAGCAGGCAGGATTGGTGGAACACTAGTAATCCTGGCACTTTGGAGGCAGATGCAGGAGGCTTCTCAATTCAAGGCTAGCCTGTACCAGGTGCCTAGTGAGAGCTGGTCAGTCAGAATCTCTTTGTCTGTCTGTCTCTGTCTCTATCTTTCTTCCTCCTCCCCTGTCATATGTGTATGTACATGTATGTGTATATATGTATATAAGTGCAAAGATACAGTTAGATACATTATAAAAACTTGTTGTGAACAAGTATAAAAACACACATAATTTGGGAGAGCAAAGAAGAGGTTATATCCTTAATGGATTAATCGGTAACTTGTCACTAGAAGCAGTGAAGCCATAAGATGTAAATGAATGACTTCAAAATGACGAAAGACGGTGACTTCCAACACTGAATCCAGTGTCCACTGAAAATGACCTCCAGTAGTGACGGTGAAAGATGCACAGGAAAGGAGAAATGGAGATTCCATCCTCATCAGATTTACCCTGAAATAAACTGCAAGACATGACATTGTTCACAAAAGAAAGATACCCTAGAAGATAGAAATGGTGAAAGGAATAAGCAATGGCAAAAGTAATAGGTATGAAGGTTACTTTAAATGAATACGTAACATCTAAAGTCATATAATGTCACATAGGATATATGGTGGGGAGTCTAATCTGGGATTCATGACAGCAGCGGCAGATCATTAGGAAGAAGTAAACAGTGTCGCAATGTTAAGTTTTTTAATTGTGAGGAATTACATTTTGTTGTGATAAAGATGTATGTTGAACTAGGCATGCCTGTAATCCCAGCATTGGCAATGTTGGGCTGGGAGGCTCTTTGAGGCCAGCCTAGGCTACATAATGAGACTCTGCCTCTGAAAATGAAACAAGGACGGTGAACATACATACTTTACAGTCAGTAATTAAGTTAGGCCTGACATGGTGGCTGCTATTCTATTTTAGGAGATGTGTGGGTTATCAAAATAGGGTCTCTCTGTGTAACTCAGGCTGATCTCAAGCTCTCCGTATGCTAGTCTGGGCTTGACTTGTAATCCTCCTGTCTCATCCACAAGCGCTGATGTGCCCTACCACAGCCAGCTGTGCCTGCTAGTCTACAAGGGAAACTTGGACACAGATGCAGAGAGAATACCTTGTGAAAGTACAGAGTCACAGATGACCACACTGATCATCCCACTGGGCAAAAAATGCCAAAGACTGAGGCAGCTGCAGCCCCTGGGAGCTTGAAGGTCGCAAATAGATGCTTCTCTAGGGCCTTCAACATGGCTCATGCTGGTCATAGCCAGGCCTGGTGACGCACTTGGGAGGCATAGACAGTAGATGTCTGAGTTTGAGGCCAGCCTGTCTCATCTCCAGAGCGAGTTCCAAGACAGCCAGGGCTGCACAGAGGAACCCTGTCTTAAAACAGCAACAACAAAAGGGGCCTCATATGTTCTACGCTGGCTTCAGACTCATTGTGTAGCCAAGGATGATGTTGAGTTTCTGGTCATCTTGCTCCGCCTCCCAAGCACAGGGATATCGGGAGCACACCACCACACATAGTGTAGTGCTGGGATCAGACATGGGGTTTGTACATGCTCGGTCAGCACTCCACTAACGGAGCCACATCCTCAGCCCACCACTTACATTTTTATTTCATCTTGCAGCTTTCAGAACCATGAGATAACAAATGTCTGTTGTTTTGAGCCACCCACTTTGTGGTTCTTGGTAATAACAGTCATGGGGATACTACTACTTTATTCTTCATCTTAAGAGGAAGCAGCTAGCTGAAGTTTCTCAACGAATGTGATGCCACTAGATGTAGAGGTTTTTCATGGGGGAGCATGGCTAAGCCCCTGACCCTGACTTGATCTGTGTGACTTGAGCTTTAACGTTCTGGCCTGAGCTCTGACAATGCAAACTGAAATTGCTGCAGAGGTGCCTCAGCCTGTGGCTGACGCAGCCCAGGGGCTGGACTACTTTTTCTGGTTTTGATTTTGTCTTGTGTAGCATCACTAGGTTTGTGTAGGTGTCACTGTGTTGCCCAGTCTATCTTTGAGCTTTTTCAGATCCTCTTGCCTCTTCCTCCCAACTGTTGGGATTGAAATGGTATGCTGCCATGTTCAGCTCCTGGGCATTTTTGATGAACATCTGATCCTGGAAAGCAAAGCAGGGAAGTTCCTGTGGCCTGTGAGATAATGTTGTCTCTGCATTTCAATTCCAACTTCCCTCTTCTCACATAATCAGAAGGGGTTGAGTTCCGTGTTACCTTGAGAAAATGATTGTTGTCTGAGGGGGATCTCTCTGACTCCTGTCTGCCCTCTTGGGCCCACTATTGTCAGCAGCTTGCCTAGCCTTTCTTGTACTGCTGGAGATGGAACCCAGTGCTTTGCATATCTAATCAAATGTGGGCGAGCCCACTGAGCTACATCCCAGCAGAGCCTGTCCTGCTTTTTCTAACCTAGTAAATGTCCTCAGAGCTCATCTTATTCTCTCCCCTCTTGAATTTGTTTGGACACCTTCAGGCTCACTCTGACAGCTCCTCTGTCTAGAAGTCAGTTGGACTTCAATCTGATGATCTTTAATAATCCTCAAAATAGGTCTGACTTAATTTTTTTCTAATAGTGCTATGGGAATGAAGATTTTCTGTCTTTTTTTTTTTTTTTTCCACATAGTCTTACTGTTTAGCCCGGAATGCTGGATGGCCTCCTGCCTCAGCATTCCCCATGCTGGGATTTTAGGTGTACTCCACCATACTCAGCTCTTTTGTGTCTTAGGAATTCTAAGTTGAAGTGATATCTTGGCAGCCTCTCTTACTTCTTTCTCTTCAGCCACTTCTTACAGTCTGTCAATGGAGGACTTAACAAGCAGAGCTGGCCAATGGTCTCTCTCCAACATGATGGCCTAGCCTTATGGCTGCTTGCCTTAACACTCCCACTCTGGCTGCCTGAACTGTCTGCCACCCATATTCTTGTATGTCCTGACACAGTCTCCCCACATATACTCTTTCATTCCCATAGCAGTTCATTTTTTTCAGTTACTATTTTTGAGATAGGTTCTCAGATAGCATGGCTGACACTGCACTCCCAACTCAAGGCTGAGACTGGCCTTGAACTTTTGATCCTTCTCTCTCCATCTCCTGAGTTTTAGGATTGCAGGCACGTACCACCATATCTGGTCTTTATATGATGGGTGCTAGAGATAAAACTCGAGGCTTCGTGCATGCTAGATAAGCACATAGCAGCTGAGCTTCTACCCCTACTGTTTTACCTACTCTTTTATGATGGTATTTACAGTGGGTTTGGGGTATTGGGCTCTCGGGTCTCATTTGAGTTCCCAAGCCATCTCTATTACCACAGCTCATCAGCTTGTGGGTGTGGCTGGCCGTAGCTCCCCCCTGGGGCAGTGCGCAGAGACACTTCTGGTTATGACTGGCAGAGACTTGGGACAGCACGTTAAAGAATGTAGTGAGAACTTAAGCTTTACTCATTATGTATCTTTTAAGGGACAAGAACCTAGAATATGAGTACATTAAACTGTAATCAGAACTGAAATCAAGCAGATTTCTAATTTAAATTGGAACCAAATGTGCTCTGAGCTAATACAGTGAGAACAGACTTCCCTTATTAGGTATCATGAATGTATTTGACATTCTGCTGGTCATTCGCTACTTAGTAAAGAACTCCTTCATTTGTTAGAAACTTTGTATGTTACTTATATGTCAAAACCTGAGAGATATATTCATGTGTTATATTAGTGGTTCTCAGCCTTCCTAATGCTGCAACAATTTAATACAGTTCCTCATGTTGTGGTGACTCCCAACCATAAAATTGTCTTTACTTCATAACAGTAATTTTGCTACTATTTAGAGTTGCAATGTAAGTATCTGCTGTTCAGGATATCTGGTATGTGATTCCTGTGAAAGGGTCCTTTGACACAAACTACAGGGTGAGAACCACTGTGTTAGACTTTTCTCAGCACTTCTGGGTTCTTTTCCTGGACAGTTGTCAACATTAAATCCAAGTCAAATAACTACTGACTTACCTTTTCTGGCCATTATCTTTGTAAATTTTTATTTTATTTATTCCTCCTTCCCTCTTTCCCTTCTTTCCTTCCTTTTTTTCTGAGACAAGATTTCACTGTATGTCCATGTGCCCTAGAACTCACGGTGATCCTCTTGTCTCAGACTTTCAAGTGCTGGCATTGCAGGAGTGTGCAACCACGTCAGGCTCCTGCCGTTTTTAATGTTGTTCGCTCTGTCAGAGGGTAGACCATGAGAGTGTGACTCATAACTGCTGTGTCTTGCTTTCATAGTTTATAGCACCTTGGCTGTATCAGGCTGTTTGCTACTCTGAGCAAATCTAGACTTAGTCAGAAGCTTTTGGCATGCTTGGCAGTCACGTACTTTGAGGTAACTGGTGTAGAGCCCACCTGCCAAGTCTCCAGCCCTCACAGTGAGTGTAAACTTTTCACTGAGGTCTTTGAGCCAAGAGTACCTGGAATCACCTTCTCCAGGTGTCATTTCAGGTGAACCACTGTCTCCCAGAGAAGATCGTGGTGTATCGAGATGGAGTGTCTGATGGCCAGCTAAAGACAGTTGCCAACTACGAGATTCCTCAGCTGCAGAAGTGCTTTGAAGCTTTTGATAACTACCACCCCAAGATGGTGGTGTTTGTAGTTCAGAAGAAAATCAGCACCAATCTGTACCTTGCCGCTCCTGATCACTTTGTGACCCCCTCCCCTGGGACTGTGGTTGATCACACCATAACTAGCTGCGAGTGGTAAGTCAGCAAAACAGGGGTCCTCAGGTGAGGAAGAATAAGCTGGAGAAGTTGTTTGTTGCCTGGATATTCCTGGACAGGTGTAGAATGGAATCCTCATGTTTGACTTGAAAAAAGCAAGCTTTGGCTGAGCCCAGTGATAGAGCTCAGTGTGAGCATGGGTTCATCTCCATCAACCACAGATATACACACATGTATACACATAAGTACGTGGCCACATAAGCACACATTTTGTTACGGGGCATTCAACCTTGTGCCTCATGAATGCTACCGTCTACCACTAAGCTGTGTTCAAAGGCTTAATTTTTTTTTAATATGAAAAAGCTTTTAATTCTTAGGTATGTCTTTTTCCCTTTCTTCCTTTTGATATAGGGTCTCAAGTAGCCCATGCCACACCCCCCAAACTCTATATAGCCCAGGCTGCCCTTTACAGATGGCTGACCGCCTCTTCAGCCTCCCCAGTGCTGAGATTGCATCCATGGGCCTATACATGCACACACACGCACACACACCTACACCAGCATCCTTTCATGCAATTGATCATCATTTTCTTTTCTAAACCTTGTATGGTGGGGCTACAATGATCTTCAGAACGCTCCAGTCCTCTCACCAACCGGTATTCTTTCTTTGCTAGGGTGGATTTCTACCTTCTTGCCCATCATGTGCGACAGGGCTGTGGCATACCTACACACTACATCTGTGTCCTGAACACCGCAAATCTGAGCCCCGATCACATGCAGAGGTGAGCCTGCCAGCCAGAAACGTGCCTGAGATCAGCTGCTTATCCTGACTAAGAAGCTAAGTCACTTGTGGCTGTCTCTTAAGATAGTTTACCCCGTGTGTGTGTGTGTGTGTGTGTGTCTGTGTGTGTGTGTGTGTGTGTGTGTGTCTGTCTGTGCATGTGTGCATAGGTATGGAGGCTGAGGTCAACATCAGGCGTCTTGGCAACACCTTGGTTTTTGAGACAGTACCTCTCACTGGGAACTCCAGTTAGACAAGGTCTCTGTCTCCTAGGGTGAGATCACACTCAGTTACTGAGAACTGAACTCGGGTCCCTGTGCTTATACAGTAAACACTTTTCCAGCTGAGCCAGTGCCCCAGCCCAATGTGTTACCCCTTGACTCTCCCAAATCTTGGTAACAGTAGTATTTTTTTTTTTTTTGAGGAGTGATTTGTTATCCTGCTTTTACATTAAAATTATTTTGAAGAACTTCAAGAAAATATGGATGAATGCCATCCTTCACTCTTGTGCATTATAAAGCATGGGTATTTACTTAATTTAATGTAGAAAAATGTTCTTGTGGGGCTGGAGAGATAGATGGCCCAGTGGTTAAGAGCACTGGCTGTTCTTCCAGGGAACCATGTTCAGTTCCCAGCACCCACATGGCAGTTCACAGCTGTAATTTCAGTTCCAGAGGATCCAGCATCCTCACGCAGACACACACGCAGGCAAAGCAATAGTGCACAGAAACTAAAAATAAGCAAATCATTAAAGTAATAATTTAAAAAAAAAATAGTCATGTTACATGGCTTAGGCTGGTCCCAAACTTTTATTTCGTTTTTTTTTTTTTTTTTTTTTTTTTTTTTTGCTTTTCAAGACAGAATTTTTCTGTATAGCCCTGAGTGTCCTGGAACTCACAGAGATCCTGCCTGCCTCTGCCTCTAGTGCTGGGATTAAAGGTGTACATCATCATACCTGGCTCTAGAACTCTAGAACTGAAGTCATGCTCCTAACTTAGCCTTCTAAATAGCAGGGATTACAGGGGCACACTACCATGCCTGGTGGCATTTATATTTTAATACTATTCCAGCTGCATATGGCAAGCACCTGTTAATAATTTATAACTCAGAGCACTGAAGCCAGAGAAACACCTAGAATCACCAGTCTGAAGGACAGAGTTAATTCCAGGCCAGTCGTAGCTACGTAATAAGACCTTGTCTCAAAAACCTAGCTAGTAGGGCTAGAAAGATGGCTCAGCAGTTAAGAGCACTGACTGCTTTTCCAGAGGATCCAGGTTCAATTCCTAGCATCTGCATAGCAGCTCACAGCTGCCTGTAACTCAGGTTCCAGGGGATCCAACACATATGCAGGCAAAACACCAATGCATGTAAAAAAATAAATAAATAAAAATAAAAAAAATCCTAGCTAGCTAGGTAGCCAGATGGAAAGATCAATATATAACCACTGCAAATAACTATGACATACTGCCACATTTATTTATGATGTTCAGACCCAATAGACTGGTAAATGTCCTTTTATAGCCTTTCCCTTTGTGATGTTTTTCTGCTTTTATTGCATATTACATGTAAGGTGTTTTGCCTGTATGTATATAGATAGATAGATAGATAGATAGATAGATAGATAGATAGATAGATACATACATACATACATACATACATACACACACACACATACATACATACATACATATATAATACATACATACATACATACATACATACATACATACATACATACATA